GGAAGGAGATAGGGAGAAGCTGGGGATAATCACACAGTCTGTCCTTCACTGCCTTTAGGATTTCATGTCTCATTTTTTATGTGCATAGTTTTTTCTAAAAGGAATGGTTTTTAGTCAAATTTGTAAAACCAAGTCTTATATATGACCTTTGAGACTTGGGAAAAATATCATAAGAGCATACATTAAATCCAGATTGTCCCTGTTCACACTCAGGATCAGAAAGTAGAGACAATCAGACATCCTCACTCCTACAGCACACCGCTGTCCCTCACACATGCGTTCTCACAATGTTTCATATGACATCCTGATGGACAGGCCGCCTCCATCTGTTCACAGCTCTCTGGAACTCAGCTAGGATCTGTTTCATTATGGTGATTTATTGTGTTTAAAGTCCTCCAGTCTGGTGTGATGTCCGAGGTGTATGTACCACACCTGTCCTATGTAGAATTTCATCTTACTATGGAGACTCATGAGATTAATTGTGATTTCTCATAAGGGATTAACTTTCTTTCTAGAGCCAGTTTTCTTTCTGGTATACAAGTGAATGACTCCTCCTATGTGTTTATAGATAGAAATGATTGGACCAATGTGTTATTAGTTCATGAAACAAGAGAGGACATGTAGAGGGACAGAGACTTTTTGGAAAATCCCAAGAGGTAACAGTGGGGCACACTGGGTATGGATATTATCATACTTTGTTTTATACATGGATTAAATTTAAAATATAAAATATGTAATACAAAAGTATCAATTTTACATAGTTTTAGAATTTTCATACTTCTATATTTTTTACCCTGTGTTATTTCTCCCACAAACTCTTCCATTCATTTTCTCTCCCCTCCTACATTACCTTTATTCTACTAGACAACTCACTTATACTTCATCATGTATTTTTATTCACAGCTGTATGTTAGCATGCGATATCTATAAACTACTGATGAGAGTCTCATTTTGTGTCTGGCTTCTGAGATCACATTAAGTAATGCATTTATCTCTAGTTCTATCCTAAATGATGTAAGTTTCATATTCCCTGTAGATGTGTAAATTCTGTTGAGTTGTTTATATAAGCATTTCTTCTTGGTGAGATACTCTGTTGATAGATAGTTTATTTCCATAATTTTGTTATTGTGATATTGCTTCAGTAATCAAGCTGTTTACTTGATTTCTGAAGTACATTTGCTTTTGTTCATTTGGGAGATTTTTTCAGTATACAATCTGGTGCACAGGCAAATATTCATTGCATGTATCTGAAAGGAGGCTGTAAATTTAATACTCAGTAGGTTTTAAATTTCCCATCACTGTCATCATCATCACAGCCACCCTCTGTAAATCAATCTGATAACTTTGTCCCAGGTGGAACCACTGTCTCAGGCCTGAAATCTTTTGAGACCTTAGGTCATGATGTTACTTCCTCAGCATCATCTGAGGTCCCTGGGAAGAAGGATGTTATACATATTCTCAGAGAGGATTAATACGGGATCTCCGCCTCGACATGGTTGACACAGGTGTCCTCTGTCTTTTGTTTAAGGGACACACATGACTGTGCTCAGACTTTTTCTCTTGGTCATGTCCATCCCCAGTGAAAAACATCTCTTTTTGTCTAAAACATCCTCACATTTGGCTAGGGGACCAGTGACAGAATTCCCACAACAAATAAACTACAGAGAAAAAAGCAAATGAAAAGCTGGTGGACTGTGAAGCTGAAAACTTTCCATTTTGTTTGGTTTGGATGAGAGACAAAAGTTCAGAATAGAGGACTGAGTTTTGTATCACTGGATACAAATCACAGTCCTGGATTCGCAGGTGTCTTGGCTGAGAACAAGTTCCTTTTTATAGAACAGCTGGGCACTAGGACCCTGAAATCATGCTGGGGAAACATCAACATGAAAATTCCCTAATGCTTTCCTCTTATCTCTCTTCTGTTAGCTGAAATTAATGTGTGAAAATTCAGTTTTATGTACTTCTTCTTGTAGTTATTGAAAGAATATAGTATTTTATATACATTCAATTTCTAAAAGTGTGATGAAGCCAATCCAAACTTACCTTTATATGCATTTATATTTTCCCATCTGTTGCAAGTAAAATCTCTAGATAATACGGTGCGAAGATGTGCGTGAGTATTATCCAGCAAGTCTTGTTAGAAGAATCCCACCCACTGAGATGACAACATCTTGCTGGGAAAAGGGCATAGAAATGAACAGAGACCATGCAGTAAACTCCGTTATCCACATTCAAGACTTGGATGAATCCTATTGATCAGCCTTAACGATGATCAAAAGGATCTCTCATAAAAGATCATCCTGAAGACTATGGAACACACGCCAGCAGGCGATGACCACACCTCTGCCCTTCAGGTTCCTAAGGAACAGGTGCAAAGACAGAACAGCAAGGGAGGTCACCACATCCATTTGGAATTTCTTCCATTACTGACTCACATATCACCCTGGTAAATTAATGAAACCCATCAGAGAAAGGATTTGGTCATCAAAGCACTCAAAGAAGAAGGGACTTCAGATCATCACTTCACTGCATTTAGCTGCTGCATTTAGCTGCTTTAAATGAAGTCACTTTCCTTCAGGTGCCACAGAAACAATCATAGTCCAAAAGAACTCTTAGCCATAAGAAATTTTCACTAGTAGTTGAATTAATTAGTCAATTAACCAATTACTCTGCAACTCTCCTTTCTAACACAGGGTGAGTATTAAAGGGTGCCTCTTGAGATATATACCACAGCCACCAAGAAATTCCTATATCGCCAGACAGACTAGAGAGACAGGATTACATAAAACCACAGCAATACATACCAGGTAACAGATTCCTCTCCACTTGTGGTAACCAGAAACTAGGAAAATTAATGTCACAAATGACAAAAGTATTAACTAACACAACCCAAACACAAATATGTGGCATATATGTAAAAGCATTTTGTGATGAATTTAGTATTTCACAAGGAAAAGACTCTGTAATATTAATGTTTATTTAACATATATATATTATACATATCTATCTATCGATCTATCTATATATGCCTATTATATAATGAGGATAAAATTTGGGACCTTGTACATGTTAAACTTTCCCACCATGCTGTCTCCAAGCCCAGTTTCAACACTGTAATTTAATGTATGCTTCACCATTCATCTTTACATTAATTTGCATTGAATTATAAAAATGTAATTTTTAGTTTTTAAACTTCCACGAACTAACTGTGTAATATCTGGTAAGAAAAGCAGTGGAGAGTTCATGTAAGAAATGAAAAAACATAAATTAAGGATGTTGAATCTTTTTACAAATGAAGATGAATACTATTTTAGTGAAATCAGAGTCTTCACTACTTCCATGTCCTTCAGGCATTTGCACTATTAACTGCTGTCTCTAAGGTCCTCACACACCTGAGAACACGATATATCAGTAAGTTATGCAAATATGTCCTCCCTCTGCTCATGAAAACCAGCCCTGTCATGACTCCGAAGGTCAGGTAGACGACTCTTGCCTTGTCTTCCCATTCAGTAACAAGCGCTGAAGACTCCCTACATGGCTGGTTCCAGCAATCTACTCAGATAGGCATGCAGGGGTTGGGATAGAAGAAAAGACTGTTGGGTCAATTCATGAGTATGGGGACAGATTCGCTATATCAGTGTCTGTTTGCCATTCATGAGTCACACATGTGCATGTTTAAAAGAAGCTAACTATACATTGACATATCTAAATATAAATGCATTCTGTACATTATTTTTATGAGAACATATGTGGATGCTTTTTACCAAGGCACATGGTAACTTATACTATCAGAAATGAGTCTGCCAACTCCTATTTTAACTGTGAAGAACTTCATCTTACTATGGAGATTCTTGATTTTAATTGTGATTTTTCATAAGGGATTCACTTTCTTTCAAGAACCAGTTTTCTTTCTGGTATAATAAGACTCTATCTATGTGAATATAGACAGAATTGATTGGATTCATAGTGCTATTAGTTAAGGAAACAAGAGAGGACACAAAGACAAACAGAGACTTAATGGAAAGTCCCAATAGAAATCAGTGGGTCATAATGGGTCTAGATATACTCATACCATATTTTTTACATGGATCAAATTTCAAAAAATATAAACTGTAAAATACCAATTTTACATAGCTGTAGAAATTTCATACACATGTATTTCATACAATTCTTTCCCCCATAATCTCTACTCTCATTTTCCCCTCCTCCTTTGCTTTTATCCTAATAGACGATTTCACTTGCACTTCATCATGTATTTTTATTGATAGTTGTAGGTAACCATGTGATACCTAAGAACTACTGAGGAGATTCTCGTTTAATGTCTGATTTCTGAGATTGTCTTAATTAACACATACTTATCTAGCTGCATCCATTTTTCTATCACAGACATAATATCTGAATTCCTTGTAGATGAAAATTTTATGCTGTGTAGTTTATGTAAACGTGTCTTCTTGGTGAGATCCTCTGTTGACAGATACATAATTTAGTTATTTGGCATTGCTGCAGTAAGCACTGTTGTACAAATATTTAGGAGGTATATTTGCTTTGGTTCATTTGATAGAGTTTTTAGTATATAGTTTTTTTGGAAAGGCAAATATTAACTGCATATATCAGACAGGAGTCTTTAAAATTCCAACTCAGCAGGTTTTAAATTCCCATCAATGTCATCATAATCTCAGCCACCAACTTAAGTAAGTCTGATAACCTTGTTCCAAGTGGACCCCCTGTATTAGCTCTGTTATCTATTGAGACTTAGGTCCTGATTACTTCCTCATCATCTGCAGAGGACCCAGGGAAGAAGGATACTATACACATCCTCAGAGAGAATTAGGACTGGGAACTCAGCATCCTGCTGTCTGATCTGGTCCAGGTGTCCTCTAACTTCTTCTCCAGTAGGGCCATGTCCTTATTAAAAAGTACCATTCTCATGAATATTCAAATCATCTGAATCTATGGTGGTAAATACAGAGATGTTCACATCACCACCAACAAGTGATCAGTGTCCTCTCCACAGTTACTGAACACACAGGTCCTCACCATGGGATGGAGCTGGATCATACTCTTCCTTGTGTCAGTAACTACAGGTAAGTGGCTCTAAGTTCCAAACTTGGAGAATAAAATGGTATGAGGTGACAATGACCCCTACTATCTATTTTTCTCAACAGGTGTCCAAACACAGGTCCAGCTGCAGCAGTCTGGGCCTGAGCTTGGGAAACCTGGTTCCTCAGTGAAGTTGTCCTGCAAGGCTTCAGGCTACACCTTCACTGGCTACGGTATGCGTTGGGTAAAGCAGAGGCCTGGACAGGGCCTGGAGTGGATTGGATGGATTAATACTTCAAGTGGTAATACTGGATACGCACAGAAGTTCCAGGGCAAGGCCATGCTGACTAGAGACGTATCCTCCAGCACGGCCTACATGGAGCTCAGCAGCCTGACATCTGAGGACTCTGCCATCTATTTCTGTGCAAGAGACCCAGTGGTGCAACCACATCCTGTGTGTGTCAGAAACCCTGGAGGAGAAGGAAGCTCCACAAGAATGGAGATGACAGAAAGATCAGTCTGGGGACTTGTTCAGAAATAATCATTCTAGTGTTCCCTTCTCTTCCTCCTTCTCAAAGTCCCATATTGTTTAATACAACTTTTCAAAAGACATTTGAGTGAAAAATGGTTTTGTCTTAAGATGCCTCTAGGGGACACTCCCAGAAAATTTCATTAAAGCTTAAGAACCAGAACAAATGTCAGCTTTGTAGAATTTCATTTTACTATGGAGATTTGTGAGATTAATGTTGGTTTCTGATAAAGATTCTCTTTCTTTCTGAACCAGTTTTCTTTCTGGTATACTAGTGAAGGATTGCATCAATGTCATATTAGTTAGTAAAATAGGAGAGGACATGAAGAGGGACAGAGGGAAGAGGGAAAGCATGAAAAGGAAACATTGGGGCATACCGGGTATAGATATGATCATACTATGTTTTATACATGGATTTAATTGAAATATAAAATATGAACTACAAAATATCAATTTTACATAGTTTCAAAATTTTCATACTCATGTATTCTGTTCTTTGTGTTATTCCCCCCAAAATCTCTTCCATTCTTTTTCTCTCCCTCCTAGTTTACTCTACTAGACAACACACTTATAATTCATCATGTATTTTTATTCATAGTTCCATGTAAGCATGCGACATCTAAGAACTACTGATGAGAGACTCATTTGATACCTGATTTCTGAGATTGCCTTAACGAATGAATTTATCTCTAGTTGCATCCTAACTGATGTAAGTTTCATTTCCTTGTAGATGCATAACTTCTGTTAAGTTGTCTATATAAACATTCTTCTTGATGAGATCCTCAGTTGAAAGATATATAGTTTATTTCCATTTGTTATTTTGATATTGCTTCAGTAATCAAGGCGTTTACTTGATTTCTGAGGTTTATTTGCTTTTGTTCCTTTGGGAGAATTTTCAGTATACAGGCAAATATTCATTGCATATATTTTAAAGAGGCTGTAAATTTAATACTCAGTAGGTTTTAAATTTCTCATCATTGTCACCATCATCACAGCAACCCTCTGTAAATCAATCTGATAACCTTGTCCCAAGTGGAACCATTGTCTCAGGCCTGACATCCTTTGAGACCTTTCACTAATAGTTGAATTAATTAGTCAATTAACCAATTACTCTGCAACTCTCCTTTCAAATACAGGGTGACTATTAAAGGGTGCCTCGTGAGACATATCCCACAGCCACCAAGAAATTCCTATATCGCCAGGCCGACTAGAGAGACAGGACTACAAAAAACCACGGCAATAAAGACCAGGTAACAGATTCCCCTCCATTTTGTGGTAATCGGAGACTAGGAAAATGCATATCACAAATGCCAAAAATGTTAACTAACCAAACCCAAACCCAAATATATGGCATATATGTAAAAGCATTTTGTGATGACTTTAGTATTTCACGAGGAAAAGATTCTGTAATATTAATGTTTATTTGACACATATATTACACATATCTATTTATCTATAAATGCCTATTATATAATGAGGATAAAATTTGGGACCTTGTTTATGTTAAACTTTCCCACCATGCTGTCTCCAAGCCCAGTTTCAACACTGTAATTTAATGTATGCTTCACTAATCATTTATCTTTACATTAGTTTGCATTGAATTATCAAACTGTAATTTTTAGTTTTTAAACTTCCATGAACTTACTGTGCAATATCTGGTAAGAAAAGCAGTGGAGAGTTCATGTAAAAAAATGAAAAAACATAAATTAAGGATGTTGAACGTTTTTACAAATGAATGATGAATACTATTTTAGTGAAATCAGGCTCCTCACTACTTCCTTGTCCTTCAGGCGTTTGCACTATTAACTGCTGCCTCTAAGGTCCACACACACCTGAGAACAAGATATATCAGGAAGATATGCAAATATGTCCTTCTCTGCTCATGAAAACCAGCCCTGCCATGACTCCACAGGAAAGGCAGATGACTCTTGCCCTGTCTTTCCATTCAGTGACAAGCGCTGAAGGCATGACAATCAACATGGGGTTGAGGCTGCATTGAGTTTTCTTTGTTGCTCTTTTAAAAGGTAGATGACAAGGGATACTGAGTGAGTGAGTGGACAAGAATGGGAGAGAAACTAGACAAGCGTGACAGTTTCTTGATCCTCTCTGTTTGCAGGTGTCCAGTGTGAGGTACAGCTGGTGGAGTCTGGAGGAGGCTTAGAGCAGGCTGGAAAGTCCCTGAAACTCTCCTGTGAAGCTCCTGGATTCACCTTCAGTGATGCTGCTATGACCTGGGTCCGCCAGGCTCCAGAAAAAGGGCTGGAGTGGGTTGCAAGCATAATAACAAAACCCAATAATTATGCAACCTATTATGCAGATTCGGTGAAAGACAGATTCACCATCTCCACAGATGATTCCCAAAGCATGTTCTACCTGCAAATGAAAACCTGAACTGAGGACATGGCCATGTGTTACTGTACTAATGACACAGTCAGGATCTTCAGTGTGAGCCCAGAGAAAAACCATGCTGCCAGGTTTATGAAGCCAGCAGTGGGCACTCAGCACACATAAAGCCTAGGTTCTGACATAACTGATTCTATTTTTCTTTTTTTTATCTGGGTGCACTCTCCATTTGCATGTTTTCTGGGGGATCCTTTTGGCAATTGTGGACCCTAGGAATTCATCATGCCTCCAAAACGATGAGTTCTGTGTTGACCAACATTGTTAAAACAAATATTTAATATTCCTTCTTTAACAAAATGCAGAGTGATTCTCTGTGGTCACCAGTATCAGCTGGTGGGGAAGATCAGGAACCTCAGGTGGACTTTTCCCTCAAAATGAGGTTGGGGCAGTTCCTAGACTTGAGCAGTGTTAGTAAATCTGATGGAACCAAATGGAAGGGGAGCCAACTCAGTCACAGTAAGCACCTTGAGTTGTCCAAACAACTCTCCTCTTCTGGAGGGCTGTGCATATAATTCTAAGAAGTGATTGAGTTGTTATTTTAATTAAAATATTTTCATTACAGAATTCCTCATAGTGTCTTCTGCCCTGTGTTGGATTAGATAATTCTAGTTCTGACCTCTGTGCACTAACTCAGAGCTCAGCTGCTCATCTGGAGCTATTTGATCACTGCTGTGTGGTCTGGACAGTGTGCCTTCCTCTGAGCTTCTATTGTGGATTCTCAGGTCCTGGTCTGGTTGCTCTTGGTTATGAATCCATTCTCACTATATTCATAAAAATTCCTGGTGAATCTGCCTTCACGACTCAAAGAGAGAGCACTTTTAAGTTGACAGCAAGGATCCAAATGACCCTATGTTGGTAAAAATCTGAGTGTTTGTTTCTAAGAATATTGGAAGAATATTTTGGAGAAGACATTTTGAATATGTGGAAATTCTGTTAGCCACTTGCAAATGAAAATTTAGTTTTCTTCGTGGGAATGTCACTTTCAAAACAGACCACTGTTTTTTATAGTTCCGTGGCAAGCAGTAAGTGGCCTACACAAAATTGACTCACTGGCATATGTGGTGGTTCTTTGCCTTGTAGTGGTAAATGAGGGCTTTGCTTTTGTATGTTTATTTGATTTTTCATACAGGTTCTTCATTTGTGTATTATGGCTTCCACTTTAGGGTTTTCATGGGAATCATGTGTGTTTGGAAAAAAACCTATCACAAAAAGTGAAGTAAATATACCGAAAAACATGAAAGAAATAATTTCTAAATATAACACCTCTAGGACAGTTAATGTACTCTGCTATTTACATTCACATACTTTATTTTAAGATCTGGTTCTTTTTACTGGCAGAATTGAAAGAGAGTTTGGAATTTTACAGTTGATCCTTTATCCCATATTCACAGCCTTCCCATTCCCGATACCCTGTGTGCAGCTCAAGCCTTTCACAGAGCACACACCTGCAGTGACAACCATCACCTCTCCCATTCATGGGCTCCATGTGGTTCACCTGCTACTGTAGAACACTTGGATTAGCTAAATTCAAGAACCATAAACAGGTCTGACCTGGTGCAAAGGAATCCTTTAGATTAATATATGTGAGATGTATCTTTACTCAACTACAGTTACTCATGTTTCTCTAAAAGGCAATCCCTCCACCAACAAATATGAATTTGTGTGTATAATATCGATGACATCATACTAGGAATGATTTCTGGTGAGTGTGATTTCTCAATTATGTGACAGAACATTTACAATACTATGCCTAATTCAAAATGCTTCTTTTACTATCCTATGTAAGTACAATGATGACAGTAGACATCATAGATTCACCAGGAGAATCTGTGTTCTGTTCATTCCCACCTGTAATTATGTGGCTCCCAAAATGAAAATATGCTCCTGATCTCCAGGGGAAATTGGAGACTTCATACATTGCTGGTACCAGCAATCTACTGCGATAGACTTGCAGGGGTGTGTATAGAAGTAATGCTGTTGGGTCAATTCATGAGTCTGGTTACAGGATGTCAGTATCAGTATCTGTTGCCATTCATGAGTCACACATGGGCAAATTTAAAAGAATCCAACTATACATTGACATGTGCAAATATAAATGCATTCTGTTCATTATTTTAATGAGGACATATGTTGATGCTTTTCACCATGGCACATGGTAACTTATACTATCAGAAATGACAATGTTTAGATCCTTTGCTATTGCCAGGAAAGCTGCAGAACTCGTCATTGTTTCTGCCTGACAGGTACCAATTGTCCTTGTCCTTAGGTACCACTTTACATGTCAAAACTTGTCCTGGTGAAGTCCTCAGAGATCTGGTCCTTACCCACACTGGCCCTGCTTACTCCATCACACTCTGATACATACTGAGGTTGAGTTTGTCCCAGAAAAGAGGCTGTGGTCCTGGGAGAATGAGTTATCTTGGAGTCACAGAAAACAGGTCATTCTCCTTCAGTTTCATCCTCACCTTCAGAAACCCATTTGAGGAAGAGTTGTCCTCAAGACTGACTTATGTTATAGAAGTGACAGCCACATATGCTGTGATGTTCATACCGAGGGACACCATGTTCTGGCAAACAGCACTCGAGCTGTGGTCTCAGGAAGAGCATTGGAGCTCATCCCCATAGGAGTCCCACAGCAGACTGGAACTCAAGATCAGCCCAGGGAGCAGGAGCAGAGAGTGTCTAAGCATTTGTTTTCTTGGGACCTTGAACTTACAGCAAATCTAATGGTTTCCCTTAAAAAACCAAAATCCTCTATATGTTGAACTATTAAAATGGAACAAAGTTGTAGAAGTGTCTGTTTTCGTTATAATTATACATACTCATTTTTACCCATGCAGTTTGTCACTTATATGAGCAGAAATAACCCTGACATTGTCAACAGTGTTAGACACTGAGGAATGATGAGTGTACCTGTTGATTTCATTCTGATGAGAGACAGCCCATTACTGGGATTCCATTTTTAATCTTTAGCATTCAGACAGGAGCTCAAAGGCAATCAAGGCTCAGGGATTAAACTACAAAAGTTCATATCTGACATGGCTCTGTCTATATTGGTGTGTACCTCAGTCCCAGAAACAATCTGGACTTTTCCTCTGAAAATAAATTTCTCTTTTTCTTAAAATTTAATTAATTGAAACAAACAGCTAAATGTTTTTTGAAATAGAATTCTGAGAACTCCTTTTAACCCAAACTCTCTCATCAAGATCAGGTCTCAGCAGAAAGCTTAAAGCTGTCATTGAGAAATCCTTCAGTGTTTTAATGACACATTCACTATCCAGTTCTCCCTAAGGCTGATATCTGCTACCACTGAAGTCAGCCCTGCATTACATTGCAGCAAACACAGTGAGGAGGTGCCCTGTGTGCTCAGAAACAACCTCATTTTGAGGGTGCTCGGGACCAGCAGAGGGCACTGCAGAACTCACCAGGAAAGAAAATGTAGTAGGAGACACAGAGATCTGGAGAGTGAGGGAGTCCTCTGAGACCCAAAGTTTTCCTATCCTCACCTCAAATAACTGCCAAGAAAATGCAATACACTTGGTGTAGCTACTGTAAGAAAACTTCAGACTTGGTATAGTAAAAGTTCTTTGTTTAGTAATATTGCACATATATGTTTTAGTCATCAGATGTGAACCTTATAATAAGGACAAACATGCACACACATATAGCAAGGCAGCAGTTTTCAAATAGACATCATCCTCACATCCACCAGCAGCAGCATCTAACTGTATCTGTTACTTCTTTCCACAGGAGTAGGGGTTTTCTCAATTGGAATATTGTACAGTGACCTGAGATCTCAGTCCTTGAAATTCCAGCCACAGTACTGAATCCTTGTAGCTCTGCTATGGGAGACCTGGTCAAAAGGTGTGATACACTGCCCTGTGAATCCATACCTCAGTGGGGAGAGAGAGGAAGAAAATTGGGATAATCACACAATGTGTCTTTTGCTGAGTTTAGGATTTCATGTATCATTTTTCTCTGCATATTTTTCTAAAAGATAAGATATTTAGTCATATTGTTAATACCTAGCCTAATATGTGGTTTAATGTCTAGGGAAAAAGTTTCAGAAGAAAGTACCTTAAATCTAGACTGTCCTCATTCTCACTCAGGTGAACTAAGAGAGAGAAAATGAGACATCCTCACAACTACACCACTGCAGTGTCCTTCACAGGTGAGTTCTCACTATGTGATATAGGAGATCGTGATGCGTAGGCCTCCTCCATGTATTCCCTATGCTCTGTAAATCAGTGAAGATCAGCTTGCTCATGGTCCTTTCTCATGTTTAAAGGATGAGTGTCCTTCAATGCGTTGTGATGTCCTGATTTTATGTACTGCATCTGTCCTGGTGTTTATATTTACACCCAGAATATTTCATTGGTGTTTAAGGACAAACTCCAATTTTAGCGGTTTAGAACTTTATCTGAATATGGAGATTCTTGAGTTTAATTGTGATTTTTCATAAGGGATTCACTTTCTTTCAAGAACCAGTTTTCTTTCTGGTATACAATTATAAGACTCTATGTGTATACAGACAGAATTAATTGGATTCATTGTACTATTAGTTACGGAAATAATAGAGGACACAAAGACAGACAGAGATTTACTGCCAAGTCCCAAGAGGAATTAGTGGAGCATAATGAGTATAGATATGCTCATACCATATTTTGTAAATGGATCAAATTTCAAAAAATATAAAATGTAAAATACCAATTTTACATAGTTTTGAAATTTCATACACATGTATTTCATAAAGTTGTTTCCCCCATAATCTCTACTCTCATTTCCCCTCCTCCTTTACTTTTATCCTAATAATCGATTTCACTTGCACTTCATCATGTATTTTCATTCGTAGTTGTACGTAAGCATGTGATACATATGAACTACTGAGGAGAGTCTGATTTAATGTCTGATTTCTGAGATGGTCTTAATTAACACATATTTATCTAGCTGCATCCATTCTTATATCACTGACATAATGGTAGATGAAA